GGGTGCCTCTTCCAAATATTTGAATTTAAAAGCCCCTACAAGGCCAGGGGTTCTAGTATTAGGACAGGGCTCTATATATCAGATATTGAAAATGCATATTCTTTTTTTAAAATAACTTCTCTGTCCCTGGGTATTTTACAGATTTACTTGGTGTATGGTATTGATGAGTAAGGACGCCTGTTACAAAATTATGAGATTCATAGCCCCTGCGTCAAGGATTTTGTTGCTAAGACAGGGCTCTGTTGCATATATCGTGAAAATGATATCTTTTCTTTCCCTGGGTATTTAGCAAATATACTTAGTGTATGGTTAAGATGAGTAAGGTTGCTTCTTCCAAAATTGTGAGTTTCTCAGCCCCTGGGTCTACGCTTCAGGAGCTAAGACAGAGCTCTATTGATTATATACTGAAAATACATTAATTGTTTGAAAATCGTCTTCTGTCTCCCCGGGTATATATATAAAATATATATATAAAATACAAAAATACCTCCAGTTTTTTTTTTTACTTGATCATCTGATTTCTGTTTCATATAAATAATTTTAATGTGTTTCAATGAAAAGAAAAGAAAGGCAAACCAATAAAACATTGATTTAATGAAAAAGGTGAAAATAAAGAACATTGATCAAAATAGACATATTTATAGTTGGAAAACAAATAATTCTGAGAATTGTGATACATGTTCAGTTCCATTCTTTACCAATTTTTCAAGTCATCTGTACAAAGGAGTACAAAACAGAAATATATGTACAATATATGTACAAGTGGGTTAAGAGTAGATTATAATAAGAGTGTACATATATACTATAAATACTTAAGAGCCATTCTCTGTAATGACTTCAACTTTTATATAGGAGTTGTGGCACGCATAGTCTCAGAATTTCTCCAAACTCTCTATGATAAAAGTCTTTGATACCGTAAACTCAGATCAGGCAAAAATTGGTTGCTACGTGCCATGGTTACCATAGCATGTCCTAAAATTTGAAAAATACCATTTTTCAACATGTCCAGAGTCCCACAGTTAACGATTGCAGCAAAGCAAACAAGTGGCAATGACTGTTTCTGAAAGTTGAAGGCCTGGTGTCTTAAATGCATGATAAACCTGTTTGGTAAATCAACTGTTATATACATTACTATGAAAACAAAGTATTCAGATATAATAATTTTGTTCATTTAATTTTATAAAGTCATACACTTAAGATTAAAAACAATTATAGGTTCAAATGCAAGCAAATAATAGACAAGAAATCCTTCTAACATATACCAAGGGCGAAATATAATATTTTTTATAGGTTGGCAATTGTTGCCATGGTTTTGATACCACAAATGGATTTTAAATTTACTCTCTTAGTGATTTAATCATACCCTATCTTGTTAAAAACCGTATTTCTATATAACTGAGGATCATTTTTTAAAGGCATTGGTGTGTCCCTTATTTTCACATTTCAAAAAATTCAAATTAATCTCTTTAAATAGAGCGTTGCTATGGAATTTAGCCGAAAAAATATGCATAAAAATCTGAAAAAATATTCTGTTTCCTTAGATACGTACCCTTGTATATAGATTCCCAAAACTTTTATGATAGATATATATGAACAACTAACCTGGCTTTCAATTTTGACTACAACCCAATCTTTAACTGGATGCAAAAAGCTGGCACATAGGATTTAATATTGATATAAAATTAACAAAATCGAACATTTTCCCTTCTTGGTAACAATAGAAACAGTGTTGTTTTTTTCAACAAACTTTATCAATGTATGATGTTCAACTTTAGTTCTACCAGATAAGTACTATTCAAGTCAAATAATATGTTTCTTGATTAAAAGGTAAGTAAATTCCTAAAGCAGAAAAAAATATCACTTTAAACAACTAGTATGTTGTTTCCAGGGTTACACTGCAAAGTAAAAATTAATCAAAATTTTTCTTATGTTGTCGGTGTAGCAAGGTCCTAAGGATGTATATGTGCCAATCATGAATTTTATTGTTTTTCCTAAAAATAGTAGCATTAACCCAATCTTAGCAACAGATTTTGCACTGTGTTACCATGGCAACCATGAAAGTCTTTTTTAGAACGATATTGCCAATACCTAATTACTTAAGGTCAAATATTTTTATTGTTTTTTTGGATGTTGATTGAGTTTGATTATGTAACATCTATCATTAGTGACTATTGAGCGTTATTCAGCATTTTTCAGCATCTAAAATGTATTCCAAATGTTGTTACCACTTACTTAAAGATGACTTCTAAATAGTTTCTTTATAGCATAAGTGGCAAGAAGGTGTCAAGGTTTTGTGAGAATGTTTTTTTTCTTAATCTTTATTAAGGCTTAATAAAGATTCGAAGTAGCTGAAAATCTCAATTTTTTTTCAACTTTTCTGGCTGTTACCATGGCAACCAAGACACATAGCAAAGAAATTTTATTTGATATATGTTTCTGGTGTCAATTTGTAATAAAGGGCAAAGTTTCATCAAAATCGGTAACCATGCGTGGCAAAGAAGTTTAAGTGATTACAGAGAATCGCTATGAATTTGTCATATCTTTCCTATATTTTATGCTAAGTAGATAAATTTACCTAGGTTACATACGTGTACTTATTTAACTTTTTTTAGTAATTAACAGTTGCAGCATCGAACACATCGTAAACTTTATTTCCTGTTATAAGATTTGATTTATGATGTAAATGACTGTGCTGACATACCTTTGTGACGGACATCTCAAAATTCTAATTGTTAGATATGAAATTTAAACTTTGCTTAACTGGAAGAGGTTTGATAATTAACAATTGTATTATCCGAGCTGATCCAAAGCACACCTTTATTATCCAGCTGCAAATTCATGCTGTATATTGTTTTGGGAAATCGAAATAGGTTGATCTGTAGTCAAAGCCACATATAAAAGCTTCGGAATGCGAGGGTCGTTCAAAAAGTAATACAAAATGCGACCTAAAAATAAGAAAAGCACAAATAGGATTTTTTTTTTTTTTTTTTTTTTTTTTTTTTTTTAATATAATTTTAATTCCCCAAAGTGTGCCCTGTTTACACGTCTAAAGTCTTTGTACCCATGATCAGAACATCTCAGCATACGCTATTTTAGGGATGCTCAAAAGACAATTATGAAAAATTCTCTTTACGACACGTCTAATATTGGAAATTCTTCCTTTGACTATTTTCTTGAGTTGTTTGAATAAGAGATTCTACAATGACCGATATCTAGCGAATACGGAGGATGGCTAAGCTCTGTAAACCTTCCTTTGTTAAAAATTTCCTTTACATCTCTATACTTATTTGAAGCAGCTTTGTCAGACACAAGAAAATTAACTCGAGGACCGGTATTTGGACTTCCCTCACAGAAAAGCTGCTGAACTTTCCTCGATGCAATTTTAAAATAAAAACTAACATTGATGGTACTTCCTTTGGATGTAGGTTCGCCTTGATAAAAGAGAAAACCTGTATAAGACATGTTTGGAGCTTCTCTGATTCCTCCCTTTATTACAGTTCTTGCTTTCAAGCAATAAAAGTGCACCGTTGTTTTCACATCCATCACCCAAAATTAACATTCCTTGTTCAATTTTTGATAGACCACTGGCACATTTTAGCATGTGCTCTCTTTGGCATCTGTAAGGAAATAAAAATAAAGAACCTATCTGATATAGAAATATTTTTAGATTTATTTCTCTTCGTCAGAACTCAATAAACTGTGATGTTGAAATGTTAGTGTCTTATCAACGTCTCTTACGATAAACCTGGCATTTACAGATATCATATTGCTCTCAGCATCGACATTTTTGCTGTCTCATACAGATTTTGGTCGACCAATTCAACTACGATCTTGTAACAGTCCTTTTACATGGATTTCTCAATCCCTCTGAACACTATACCAGCGTAAAAGATATGTCTTTCCAGATATCAAAAACACATTTTTCATATTGATTCTTCAGCAGTTTTTGTAATGAGGCGCAGATTTCACATAGGCCTTTATTTTCATCTTCTTGGCAGAGACCATTTAAAAACAGTTTCCTGTTCATTGTTGTGACCATGCTCAAGTAAGAAGGTAAATGTCTTTACGAAAACTATAGGGAAAAGCATGAGGTATTCAATGATTAGGAGTTCTTAAATAGTACCTCTCGACTGTGAAAAAATAAAATTAAGTGATCCTTCATTTATTATGATAAACTGTATGTTGCATTATTATTTGAACGACCTTCGTATACAAACTCAAATCGGCCTGGTACATATACCTTAATTATTTATTTTAGTCACATAAATTTAAAACATATAAGATGATAAAGGCTTACATCTGGCATTTTAGTGCTACATGAATTTCAGAGAGATAAACATACCCTACTATTTTTTAATAGAAGATATACCTACATGTAATAGCACATTTAATCAAATGAATATCATCAATGAATATAATTTAATATATTTCTGTTTTACCATTTTAATCAGAAAAGTAATTAAAAAGTAATCAAAATTATATGAATATTTCAGATTAATTGATTAAATTATAATAAAATGTAAACAGCAAAAATGCATGATCACTGATTACTCATGATTACAACGGAAACTGTGATAAAATACAGCTGATAACGATAACCTCATATCTGGTTTATAAATATATATGACGATAATAATCGTAAGTAGAAATGTTCAGAGGATAGTTTTTATCTGTAGGAAGAAAATGGTAATGACTGGAAGAGTAATCAAAAACCGAGAAGTTAAAGTACATTTGGGAGCAAGGCTATCTGGAGTTGCAGATTTATTCTAAACAAGGTGAAATCCGTTGGATCATATCATGTGCGCAATTATAGAATTTGTGTTAAACGAAGTTCAACAATAACCCCCTTCCCCATACACCCACAACATAAAAGCACAAACAAAGTTTTCCAATGCCAAGCAAAAATAATTACAAACACAATCACACAACATACATGCAACAACCCTTTAAGAGATACGGTATGGATCTGTAGTTGATTGATTTTTCCAGCTAATGTGGATCAATTCCTCGTAAACAACCATTTGAAGCTACTTATTTAATTTCTCCTTCTCCCATTTGGTTATTATTTCTTTTGCAAAAGAAGGTGTTTAAGAAGTTCAAAATTCCTGGAGAACTAGAAAAACTCAAAAAAATGAAGAAGCCTTGTAAAGACGTCAGAAAAGTAACAATAAAGGAAAAAATTGAAATCTGCAAAAGACCATCCAACACCTGGAGAATCCATACTGTTCCAGTCAGACTGAATAGTTTGATTGCAATAAGGAGCTCCGATTTGTTTTCTTTCGATTTCCGGATGTTTTTAGCAAATCTGATGTTAAGAAGAGTAAAAATAAACAAGACAATATTAACCGTACAAGTAACAGTTAAGGGGGCGATAAAAGTGGCAATGTTTTGAATGAAATTTTCAACGAAGCACAAGTATTCCCCGTATCCGATCTTCCCTTGTAAAGCAAACGTGAAAGTTATATTAACACCGATAATTATAAAGGGAGTAAAATAACAAAAGAAAACGTAAAAAGTAAAAGTAGCTCTTATATTTTGACCACGATTACTTGCATTCTGTGTGTACCTTGAAAAGGTCCTGAACATATGAAAAGAGCAGATGAAAAGACAACAGCAAAGGGAAAGCCAGAAATAATGTAAAATAACACCTGTTATCTTACAAAGCAAAGTCGATCTTTGTAAAACATTTGCTACTGTATAAGTAATTTGCATACAAAAAAGAGAAAAAGTTGTGTTCATAATATTCAAACCAGGGAGTGTGCGTAATCCGGGAACTATCATGTAAAGCACAAACAAGGTCAACAAGGATAAAATACTGATAATGTTTAAAACAGTTGTTAAGGTTTCAAGTGTGTTGACATAATCATGATCAAAAGCATTTATGTACGACTGGCTGGATCGGACACAAACTCGATATTTGTCGTCAAAATCTAAAACAAAGTCGCCAATGTTAAAGGTTTCCTGGGTTTTCTTTACAATGATCTGACCGTTCGTGTTTTCAGTTTTTACTTCACTTTTGTTTAATATTCTCTGACGACATAAAAGTAAATTACTTACAACAACAAAAGCTGTGGGATATGGAAATTCTAGATATCTGTACATGCGAGAGGCAAATGCGGCATATGTATCGGGAAATAAATGTTCTTTGGATTTCAGAGCTTTGCTAATACTAGATAATCTTTTACCTTTTAAATCGATCGAAATATTTTCATTTTCTTGTTCTTTAATATTTATAGACAAGTTGGCAGGTAGAGCTAACAGATCTCTTTCGACTTGGTCCCTGTCAAAGCTTTTAGAATATGACAAGCCGACATACAAATTGACTTGCAGAGAAAAATGAAAGTATCCCTTTCTAAAAGTGATTACAATAGGATATATTGGTAAAAAGAAAAACTTACTCAACACAATTGTTCCAGAAACTGAAAACTTTTTGTATAAGTGCTTTCCCACAGTTTTAGCAACTGACTTAATAATCTTGCTAGTATCATTGCTTATCGATGTAACTTTCAATTGACATAATATAAACAGTGAATAAGTAATTCCTTTTGGATGGTGAATGATCGGTATGCACTTTCCTCCAACCAAAATCTTCCCAGGATAGCAGATGTCCATTGTCTGAAATAAGATAACTATTTTTTATCCAAGGTTTCAAATTAGATATTCTGATTGATGTTTTCCAGCAATACCATGTCTGACCCGATCTTTGTCAACAATTATAATTTTAGACCTCCCCAAAACCGCTAGAACAAAGTTACTACTATAGCTTTAAATTTATTCAAATGAGGGGATATGTCCCCTATCAAAAGCAGAGAATACATGAATAGAAAAATCGTGTTTGGAAAAATTAAGAGAAAAATTCTTATGTATAGTTTGTTTTAAAATTATGGTCCCTAGAATGAAGGTTACAACATTCAACACAAGACCTTAGAGGTAAGACAAAAATACATTACGTCCAGAATAACCTTTGAGTTAATTATAATATTCATTTAAACCTTTCATGTAAAATTGTACCCTTAATGTAGTATACATTTACATATACTGTAGTGAGGGGGTTTTAGGGTTATAAAATGTTCAAATAAGGGTTATATGAAAGGATACATAATTTTGTTCACATTAAACAAAAACACTTAATTCAACAACAAAATTTAACTACTGATTTTGTCTTATAGATACAAACATTTCAACCAGGCAATCAGAGAGGCCAGTACATAGTGTTTGATAGTGTAAAAGGAGTTTTCCAGTTGGCAAGTAATGTTTGGAAGCTGATTACGCAGAAAGAAGACAATATGTACACATGTAACAGGCAAGAGTGCTATGCATGATTTTGTTGATAAATTATCGTAGAAGAGATTGGAAATAAACTTTGTTTCAGTGTATGTCCTCTGATATTTGAAATGATTGCAATTTTTGGAAGAGTCGTATTTCGTGATATTTGGGGGTATCATTATTATAATTTCTAAGTGGTGGTGTGTAAAGTTTTATTACGGAAACAAGCTCCACTGTACTATTGACCTTATATTAAAAAAAGTTTATACAGAAAGGATAATTATTTTTTTACACTAAGTATAATAAACTACATGTAATCTCTAAAGTTTTTTTTACATCCTCCAATTATAAAGCACTGTCTCCATATTTAAATCCGTACTTGCAAGTGTGTCATGCTTTGAACAAATAAGAGTGTACATTACATAGAAATAACTCTGCATTAATTTTGCATCGACCTAACCGATTTATATATTTTTTTATTTATCAATTTTCTAACATCATCGTCAAATATACAACCCAAAAAAAACTTTATATCATATCTTTTCAATACGCCTGTGCTCAGTAGCAATATATTTATTTTCAAAATGTGCATTTAATAAGTTCACAAAAGCATGTTAGATTAACAAGTTTTTGAGCTGTACATCTTCTAATTACAAGTATGAGTAATGCATAGAACTGAGGAAGCGAGGGCATATAAGTGTTTGAAAAATTTAAACGCAAATAAGATTAATAATCGTTGATTTTGGAAATGCACTTTCCTCGTAAAATTTACAGTAAAATATAATATGTGTCATTCACTGGTATTGTTTTTGAAAATATGTATTACCTTGATTTTCTTTTCCAGGAGTTTCTCATTTATGCCTATCTTTGGAAAGAAAAGTTCTCTCATTAAAGGTCTCCAATATATTTCGTTTATCCCGTACATTGGCTTACAGGTGGTTCTGGATGGGATTGTATATTTCATCCTTGCCTCATTTTCCTCACAAAAGGAACAAAACTGGTTTCTGAACGGATGAACAAATGGGTGATTTCTAACGTCTGGTAAAGTCAAGCAGGCGTTTTTGAATCTCACATCCAAGATAATTGAATAATTACATGCTTTCATGTCACCATGTTCGTATGAATTACACATTTGACAAAATTCGTTTTTAAAACTACCAATGGACATAAATGCTTCGGGACTTGAACTTTCACACATCCATTTTACGACTCGGTCTCTTTCATATCGTGGACACTTCCACTTTGAAATTGAAGTTTCCTGATCACATATGACTAATTCGGACGTGTCATACAATATATCGCACATTTGAGTTTTAGCCTGATGCATGAGTTGGCTGAAATTCATCGAATAAAGGAAATTTAATTGCGTTTCACAAATAATATTGAAGTCGACAATTTTATAGGGATCGTGAAATAGACTTTCATCTTTTATCGTGTAGTTCGTATTACAAAGAAAACAAAAAATATTTCTGTATGTTATGTTTCTTGACAAGATTAGAACATGATAATTTTGAGAATTTTCTTCGCATAACTGTTTGACGTTCTTATACTCTATTGGTGATTTCTGTTTCAAGATACTTTCGTAGCACCTTGAGACAACAAGGATGCTTCCACTTTTATGTGTTTTTGAGAACGGGGACATACGGTCGATGCATTCCACTGGATGCAGCATTGCTGTGTCAATGCAACAAGTGCACTTTCCAAGAAATAAACAGGAATATGAGCAATCACAATTTTGCTTTGAAGTGATGTTTCGAACACTCTCCGGTAAGAGATCCTGTCTACAAAGACGCTGAGGGTTAATTGCTGCGATTGTATTTGAAAGCTGGACAAGACTGACACTGTCATTCTTTTCCATAGCTTCAAATGAAAAATGAATGTTGTTCCTTTGTGAATCTCTTAAGATTCTAAGAACAGAATCACTACTAAATGTTGTATTTAAAAGCTTCAAGTAAAATTTTTTCTTTCTTTTAAGATTATAATTTTCACTTGCAACTGTTGAAAAGTCAGAAAAGTGATAACGAAAGACCTCTTTGTACGCACTACATGTACCATTGCAATGCCGAGAGTCAGAAATATTTATATTCCCTATATGAGAGTTACATTGGAAACAGTAGAAATTTTTATAGGGATATGTAATATTTGAAATAGAACTTTGTTGACATTTTTGGACCGTTTCATTGTTTTGTAAAGAACAGGAATCTATGATAGGCCCAGGCCTCTTCATCTCTTTCAATTTGCACAAATAGCAGAATATATTCCTATGAAGTCGAAATTGATTGACATAAGAGGATGAACAAGCAATATCTAACTCTTTATGATCCGGACAAGATTGGGTGAAATACTGATTTGGATGTAAATATATTGGCCGAACAAATTCCCCCATAATAGCTGGGGGCGAATAAAGAACAGTTGATTTGTAAGCTTTTGACAAGAGCTGCAGTTGTTGATAAGATTCAATGAAGTTGATGAAGTGCAATGCACCTGAGAATTCATCTATCGACAAGTCCCATGTTGCTAGATTTATTTCGTCTTCTCCGTGACAATATGCGCAGAAAACATTGCGATACGAATAATTACTAGCAACAGAGCTAACCGGATTATTAAAGTCAAAATCATCAGAGGCATTTTCACAATTTTGTGTTTCTACTTCTGTGGAATATTCAGGACATTTCGTGATTATTTCGTACAAGGGCTTGATGACTAATTCTGACTGCTTTTCCATATGAATGTGAGGGGTATCTAATGTGGCTAATGGTCTTTGAAAGAACTTATCAGGGCAACAGTTCAAGTCTTGAAAGCAAGCTTCTTCACAGGAACATGGCGGACAGCGAGATAGTATCACGTGCGGATCATAATTTGTTATACCTGGCCAATCAAAACACATGTCTTTCTCTCCACAGGCCTCGATATAAATTCTCATCAGCCGTGAAATATTGAATCCAGATATTTGACAAATGAAAAAAGTTAAACAGAATGCAGCTGATTGGAACATTTTCCTTCTGTGTAATTTTTTCACATTGAAATCTGTAATATTTGTAAAGCATGATCAAGTCATTCTGTGTGTTATGTTTCACATTTAAGGTAATTTCACCTATTTGTGATGTCATAGATTTTTACAAAATCTTTCATTTATTTAACTTCGTTCCCAATAGAAATGTCTTTTGCAAAGAATTTTATTATTATTGTTGTTTTTTTTGTTTTGTTTTTTTTTGTTTTGTTTTGTTTTGTTCTTCAGTATTTACAAGAAGAATAGAACTGCTAGCTCATTTTCTAACATGGTTTCAAAATCCTCTACATGTACAATACCAATAACCCAGATCGAAAGAAATGATTCCTTAAAAATTGAAGACAAAATAAAAAAAGAAAGAACTAATGCTTCTTTTGAAAAGGTACATGTAAATCGTCCACGACAGCAAAGTTTAAACGCTCTGTAAAAACAACACATTTTTTTTTCTCTCTCTCTCTTTTTATGCTCTGACAGATATGTTCAAAATAGAATTCATTTTCATAAAAAACACATACATGAAATTTAACATTAAAGCGTTATATATTAAAGCGTTATGTATCCCCATTTTTTGTTTTGCTGAGAGAAGAGACACCCCGTTCCTCTAACATCACAAAAGGTCTTTTGAGTTTATAGAGATGTCTTTTTTTTTGGTTAAAGTCTTTCAGACACTTTTCAGGCTTTTCTTGTTATTGCTTCCCCTTCCAGTTTTTGAAAGAAAAAAGCTCTTCTACGACCCAGATTATTGAGTAAAAGTGCTGACGTAACATTTTCTTTCGATTTATTTGATACTTATTTTGGTAACTTGTGAAATGTGTCAGACTATATTTCGATCACCTTAAGTCACAATTATGGCAGATCATTAGTGACTCCGTAAACAACTCTATGTCTTTCATAAGGGGGACTTAAATAAAATACATGTATGACTGACATTTTATCAGATAATCCTTTTTTCTTTTGATTTTAGCTAGACAAGCACTGATTACCAGGAAAATACTGTTTATTTATATTTTGTAGATACAGACAATTGATTAATTAATAGATCTGAGACTTTCTTGATAATTAGCCATGGTACATGTAAAATAGAGAAAAGTAATGTAAAATTATCAGATTCTAACAATAAAAATTTCATTTGCTGAGATATCATTTGAATTTTTAAATAAATATTTTTACAGTACTTGGGTAGGTAATAACAAAAGCTTAGTTGTTAAATTTGTAACCATTTGTATTACAAAGAGGGGAATTTCGTCTTCCACTGATTTCTGTTAACAAAATGAGTCTTGTCCAGCTTTTTATCAAAAGCATAAAGTCTCTCTCTTCGATTTGCCAAATAAGTCATATTTTATGGAAAAACATATGAATATATGCATAAGCTTAGACAATAATTCAAGTAATGTTCTGAAAATCGATCCGCAGGTATGTTGATCAAATGCTATCACTGGCAGTTCTTCGGTTTTTTTTAATGTTTTTTTTTTTCCTCTAATTTTTTTACAAGTAGAACAGAACTCCTATCTCATCTCATTTCATTTTTCAAAACTCTCTACATGTACAATACCAAGTATATCACTGATTTAAAGAAATAATTCTTTAAAAATTGAAGACAAAATAGAAAGAATGGTATTTTTGACAATTTTCTATACATCATGTTTTAAATCAAAGACTTGTATAAAATGGTTTAATGCACAATTATAAAATATTTAATGTAACACATTTAGCAAAGCAATCTGTTAAGTATTGACACATTAATGTTTATTCACCAATACGTAGACGTGAATATCAAACAAAGTACATTATTCCCTTCTATTTTACATGGAATTTTCATGGAGTGTTGGGACACGGAAATCAATGATAGAAAATTCTCCTTTGTTAATTGAAATTTTGGCAATGGAAGGTTTCTTAAAATTATGAAACTATTATTTTGGGATTTCCATTTTCCATGTAATTCCCATGTATTAAATATGTCTACTTGTCATCAACCACTACTTACCTTGAATCGCAAAAGTTACAGCGAAGTAGGCTAGGGCTGACATGCAAATACGTGTACTTAGCAGTAATGTTTTCTCGTCTGTGTGACTTACTGTGCTTTTTTCCTTTTCTAAATAGTTGTTAGACTACAGATACTTAATATGTGACCATCCTATCAGACATTTCTGCCTTTCTTGAAAGACTTGGCGTCTAAAAGGTTGGCACCCGGGTAGAAAACCAATGATATTAAACTTTGTTTTTGCATGTAAATTTTTTTTCATCATGCATACTGGGAATTTTTTTTCTAGAGAAATTCCAACTCCACTAAAGTGATCCAAATGAATACTGCATAGACATACAGTGCTACTATTATAGGGTATTCAAATCAAATATCGTTTTCGTGTGTTAATTTCATGGATTATTTTCCATTTTAACCTAAATTGAGCAAATATTTATCAAATGTCTGTGCAGTTTGGTTTTCGTAATTGTAAATTACACGGAAATTCATGGAATTCCAGAAAACGATTTTATTGATTCAAAATTCTTTTCTACCGGCAAAAAGACTTACATGTAAATAAGAACAATGAGGAAACCCTATTAAAGATTTTTCAAAGTATAAGCAAAAAATAGTGCTAGAAATCTTTTCATATCCAAAAAAGAGCCTCAATTAAATGTTAATTTTCATACAAATTTTTAAAGTTATATTAAGAGTATCCTTGAACGAGTGTAACTTCCGATACCGGTCGAGGGGGGGGGGGGGATCCAATGTCAGGTCAGGTAAGCAAGTGGGTGGGGTTGAGGGTTCTCATTTTACCATATTAAACTCATAATGGGTAATCAAACGTTTTATTGCATCGATATACATGTAAGATTAAAAACAATTATTAACCCTTATTTATATAAAATTGTATATACATGAATTTATTGTTTCCTGGTGTTTACCTTCACTGGGTGGGGATTAGCAGCTCAAAACATTAAAACAAAATTCATATATTAATGAAGGTCATAAAGATAATAGTTTCATGACAACCAATGTTAAACAAACCCTCTTAGGAAAATAAATAATGATCGATATTGCATGACGGAGAGTTCCTTACTACCGATCGATGTTCCTTGATCGATATTGGGATTTTGCTTGCAAAGATCTTAATTACGTTGACGCCTGCAATTCGTGAAGGTGTTTGCACTTCTAATTTATTAAAAACACTTTGTGACCGACAGTAATGTACTTTGTTATAATTCACAATTCCTGATTACTGGCGCAGATTTCTGGTGTAGAATATATAGAGCCGAGTCTGCCCTCTTTGAAATTGACATTGCAAAGAAAATTTCAATGAATAAAAAATAAATTTTAACAATTATTGACCTATAATCGTTTTAATTTTCACATAGATTTTTTTCTGTGATTTTTCTCCCTTTCCTGCATGCATATCTCAATAAAAATGTACACAAACACAAATTATGCTGCAAACATCTTGCAAATAACTTTTCAAAAAGTCCTGTAACAGGAAAATCTCTCAAATCTCTACAATTGTTTGTTGGGAAGCACCTTTAAAAGGGGTCGTTCACCTGAGCAGTCGATCATTCATCATGCATAAATCCTGTTATAATCAATTAAGTATCTAATGATTATTCTTTGCGTTTCAACGACCCAAAAATCACTATAAGAAAAGCGCACGTTAGCGTTTCATAAAAGATCGTAAGTACATTAAACATGTATTCTATTTCTAACTAAAAAAAATTGCTTATAAAAATATTTTAAGTATGGATTGCCTTTTACCACTTATTATAAAAAAGCAATAATTTTTGTACAAATAATTTCTTCCGAAAGTAAAGTTTATTTTTAAAAAATTGATAGCATAAAGAGCTGAAAAATAAACCAAAATTATAACAAGTTTTTGTTGCAAACACAAATAAACAGCGTAAATTTAGGAATTTATTTTTTTATGTATAAATTATTATAAAAGAAATATTAGAAGTAAAATAAATAGAACAAATTGTGTGTTCATTCTTAAAATTAAACATTGAAAGTCATTTAAACTCGACCATAGCCACACATACGTTGCAAATATGAATGGTTATATCAAGGGAATTTCTTCAAAAGGAGTACATGTAAATAGCCTTCAAAAACTGTTGAAAACTCTCTGAAAAGGGGGCAAAGGAACATCAAATGCAGGAATAAAAACTAACGAAAATAAGATAGTTTTTTGATGTGAAATAAATACAAACTGTTTATTTACAAATAACCTGAAGTAATTCTTCACTTAAAAAAAATTTAGAAAAAGAAATGAGAGAAAACAAATTGAAGGGAGAAATATTTTTGAAAAGAATTTTAAAAAAAGTTAGATTTTCTAATATTTCATTTAATCTAACAATAATTTCAGATAGATTAATATATTTATTTTAATGTACTGTATATAAATAAAGGTAGAGATAACATAAGCACAGTATGTCATGTTTTTAGCTTACAACTTGCCATAAAAGCAAATGAACATGTATTATTCCGCAGTTAAACTGAACATGAAATATCACGTTTTTGTCAGCACATTTTCACTGCAACTTTAAAATTGTCAAATCAGCTGTTTACAGGAGTGTATTTAGGTCAGGCTCTAAGGTAAATAAAAAACGTGTTTCATATCATCGGACATAATTATCAATCTCAATCCTTTTCGCAAACATATTTCGTTATTGTTCAGTTATATATACATGTACACTTAGACGACTATTAACTTATTTCTGTATATCACATATTACATAAAACCTCAGTTAATCTGATATAAATGAATAAATGCAAAAAAGAATATATAATTATTAAACCATAAAGAACATAAACCAATTAACCCATTAAAGCTTCATCTAAATCTCCCATGAATTCATTTACATTTGTAAGCCTACTGGATTTCTGAGAAGATATTGAAGTCAATATCACATGTTAACTTACAAAAGAATAACAAAATGAATAAATTATTGAATACAAATGTACAAGATAACTAATAAAACACTGCATGGCAATGGAAGTCTTAAGACGATGACCTTTTTGCCCTTATTAGCAGGACAATAAAGGAAATCAGTCTGAATCCTATAAATAGAGCAAAGAGTAGTCCCAGATCTAGATAGAAATTGTCCTGTAGAATAAAAAATATCCAATATAGTAAATATAACTCCATAAAAGTAATTTCATAGTTCATTTAACATCATTCAATGAAAAATGAGAATACACAAAATGTATATCTTATTTTGTGAACATTGATATATGTATATTCTGTCTTTATTTTACTGACTGAATATCTCATATACGTATATGAAAATAAATGAAAACCACAGGTAGCAAAATTATTTACCTTATCAAAACTTAGACTCTTAATGACTAGCTCACCACGTGGAATACATGTCGAATTAGACGTACATGCTAGAATAACAAAATAAATGTTATGATGAACAAGAAAGCTGGTTGAATCGACGTATTTCGATTTAACATACTACATGTAATACAAAAAGTAGACAAATTGATGTAAAATTTAAATAACTTTACAAGAAAGCTATATAGAGTAAAAAAATAATAATAATTTAGTTCTCTAAATCTTCTCTCAATACTGGACAAAAATGAGCTGGACAGAAGATAGTTGTTTATCTCAGAATTTGATAATTACTGATTTACTGATATTGTGAAGTGTTTGCTGAAAACTGCTATTAATTTACTCGTGCTGATAGTTTTCTTTTACTGTAGATGCTGAAAAGTCTTTTATATATATATATATATATATATATATATATATATATATATATATATATATATATATATATATATATATATATATATATATATAATATTCTGTTCCCCATTTCTGTATGGTCAGTTATAAACTTACCTATATTGTTCACATCATCCCACTGATTTACAACCAACATTTCGTTTCCATAAGAGAACCAGGATAGATATTTAAACCATATGAGCCAGTCAGGGATGGACCTTACAAAAAACAATGTTGAAAATGATTCAATTTGCAATATTACATACAATGCAAGAGGAAATCATCATGAAGTGGTCAAATATTATTGCGATATAGAACCACCTGAACACCGTAAGATCTTTAAACAAATGGTAAAGAAAAGTAGGTACAGCAAGAGGTCAGTGCCTGAAAATGACAATTGTATTGAGGACCAAACCAGTGATTGTACATTTTTTTAAGTGTGTGCAATTGCTTAGTTTAATTGATTTATTTGATTTACTTAATAAAAATGTTGGGTTTTTATTTACTAACTGGTAACTACTGTATATATACAGATGTAGGACTACTAAGTATATGTACATGTAGGAGTACTTACATGTAGTATATAATCACTCACCCACTGTTGAGGAAAAATCCTCCAAATAATAGAAAAGGTATCATGAGAGCTGGGGCTATTGCTAGAGCTGCAGTGACTGTTGGGGCTGCTGCAGACACCACGTAACCTAAAGGAATTAAACACCATCTTATATTAGAGATTTAAAGTACATAAAATTACTTTCTAAGAGAGGGCAAAAATGGAAAATAACTTAAATGAATACCAAATGAGGCAGCGGTGTTTGATATCACGATAGCTACTCCCGTGGCCACCAGAAACGCATATCCGTCATGAATTAAACCTGTAAAATGTAAAAAAAAAAGTTAAAATATAATCTTAAAAGATTGAAGTTATGAATTTTATATTCCAGGAAAAAATGTATTTCCTATGAGTAATACAGTACAGGAGCTCTATTCACAAAAAAAAAAAAAAAATTGAACGACTAAAAGCAGAATTTGATAACTCTAAGTTCACTTTTTAATTGAAATGATTTTTTTCTCAATATATTCTAGTGTAATAGAAATGTAAGGTTATTTTCGCCTACTATAGCTTAGATAGTATTTGAAGAATTGGAAAAAAAATTGTCTTAGTTATAACATATTTTGTGAAAAATGTCCTAGATACTATGTATGTATCATTTATTCAGTGTATGCATTTTCTGTTATTATTCACTTGTTAAATAAAGTTACTTATTAAAATAAGACTATCATTCATTCAGTACTTTCGTTTAATTCATAATTCACCAAGTTTACCTACCACTCATCCAATAGAGTATGGACATAAATATAACCGGGATGACGATTAGAAAGGGTATCTGTAAAAACAATGTTTACATCTTTTATTAAAACATGAAAAAATAAAAACCTAAATAGGAACATAAATACTCACATGTATAAAATACAAAATGGTACAATACACATGAATGTAAATTTTTGTTGAATTCGTATAAATTCGGATGTATAGACATAATGTACATGTACATTATTTACTAGTACGTTTATCTGGCTATACACTCATTATTACATACTTATTTCAGTAAATTATAATTCATCCGTAATCATAAATATGTATTATCTGTTTATGTAGTGTTAGTTTTGCAAATAGTTTGTCTGCTTTATAACCATGAGTAAAGAAGAATTGCAAACAGTTTGTCTGTTAGATGACTACGTGTATGAGTAAAGAAGATTTTCAAAGAAGTAATATATTTTCAAATTATAACCAATATTCCTATACAGGGGCCTGAACCTAGACTCAGGACCCATGAATGATAACATTTTCGTAACATATTACGTATACATTGTAATTATTTCATCACTTTTTCCACTTTATGTCCTTCAGAAGAGAAGATTTTCAAAGATTTAATGAAATTCAATATAAGACCAACTAAAGTTATATCCTGAAGCCTGAACACCGGACCAAGGAGCCATGAATTCTAAAATAGTACTCATTGTTATCTTGTTACCAACTTCCTCATACATGTAGATGTCAATGAAAAATTAAACAGATGTTAAAAAAAACCAACTTAGTTTCACTCTATGACCTGAACCAATGGACCAAAGGTCATAAATTTTACAATTTTGATAAGAGCTAAGTATTTATCATTACCTGACATGCAAATTGTTTGTCTGTTTCATGTCCATGAGTAAAGAAGATTTTGAAAATTGTAATAGTGTATTTTAAATATATTACCAACTTATCAAGAAGCCTGAACACTGGAGCCAAGACCCACGAATCTAAGGTAAAACATATATGACCAACTTAGCCCCAATCTGGAGCCCTAAGTATGGACCTACGAGCCATGATAACCATAGCTGTGGTAGAGGAATAAGTGTTCATTATAATTATGGATAAAGTTGGTCTGTTAAATGCCTTAAAACAGTGAGGAAGTTTTAGTTTTTCGAAGATGTAATGTATTTTCAATTTATTGCCAACTAAGCAAGCTTGAGCAGCGGACCCAGGGTCAGGCATTTCATAAATCATTTCACAATTATGCCGAAAGGTCGAGTATTCATTTTACAGACAGTTTGTCTGCTATGCATGCATACAGTTTGCCTGCTAGATGCTCATGAGTAAAGGAGATTTTATAACTAGAAGATAAAATTCGTTTTCAATATATGACCAAATTAGTCCAACCCTGGAGTCTGAACCCAAATGCAGGGGCTATGAATTTCTCAATTATTGTGAAAGTTTACCTGCTAGATGTCCAGAAGTAGAAGGATTTTGAAAATTGCATTAATTTTGGTTGTTTTGACCACATCCCTAAGACTCCAGGGAGGCAGAGATTATGATGTTCAGTTTTTGTTCCCTTTACCAATCAATGCTATATATCGACATTGGTTTTGTAATTTTAGAGAGGAAGCTGACAATGCTCAAAAATTTACGACCGATAGACTAAAACAGACAGCTTTAGGTCACCTGAGTGAATAAGTTAAACTAAGAATTATGTGTAATGATAATTACTATGTGTAATGGCAATTACTTTTGAACGTGCAAACTAAGCTTGTAATAAGCATGCAACTAATTATAAGGATCTGATGTGTACGTGTTTATTTTATTGTAAATAATTATACTTCTTTTTTGTTTCTTATAATAGTGTAGACCTATCTTAATAAAAAAGCATTCTTTAAGGGATGCACTCGCACTTTTTAAAGAATCCGAATATGGCCACATAGTTCACTTTTGCACTATCACACCATCCACTTGTAGTCGATGGTGCGATGACGATGACGAGACAGTGTCATGACGATGACGCAGTGCCATAGCACGATGATGCCATATAAAAGTTCGCATCCCTTCATCGTCAATGTTCCATCGCATCGTCGTCGTTGCGCTATCGCATAATCAGGCCATGTTCATCGCACCATCGTTATCGTACAATCGCGGTATCGAACCTCTCGACCAAAAACTTGATAATGAGATTATGCCTATCCGGATTCTTTACTTATTGTATATACATATGCTTATTGGAATAAGAAAAACTAAGTTGGAAGGATACAATGTTTATTTGTTAAATACATGTACATATTTCACTTGAATAAAGCTTAAAAAATGCCCTTCAAACATAAAAGAATTCTAATTATAAAGTTGTTTACCTCCACTAGTGTTTTGCTCATATAATAGACTCCTACACCATACAGCCCTGTGCCATACTCCCTTAAAAATATGGGTACTTCTATTGGGAAAACCTAATCATAAAAAAGTATTTAAGATGGTAGGATACATTGAAATGATCAATTAAAATTTGTACAAAATGTATAGGGAGGTGGTTTGTTTCTTTTTAATCATTTTCTCTGATCAAAAATCTTGAAAGTATCTGTACACTTTTACCCCAAAATCACTTCACCTATAGTTTAAAGATTTTTGAAAATTGTAGCTCAAATCCTCATATAACTAGTGAGTTAAAAATCATATAAATATTATACTTATATTAGCTTTGTGCTCAATCTAATTTCTTACATTCAGAACAGAGAAGATGTTGTTAAAGCTGAGGTTGGTGATGATAACAAAGATGACTCCGTTAATGTTCATGATGTCGTCTTGTGCATAATCATCGTCTGTTTTCAGATAAATGATTCCCAGAATCAAAGCAAAAAACTGAAAACCGCAAGAGAGTAAAAAATTAAAGATATTCTCCTCAATAAAAGATTCAATTTGGCTTAAATAGTGTATGAGCACAAATTCATACATTGATTTGTATACCCCTCCCCCTATAAATGATAATAAAATTAAAATGTTTTGAAATACACACAAAATCTTGATCAGAATTCTCTTACAAGATGTAGCTCTCCTGGATTCCCTTAAAATAGCATCAGAAAATTGGACACATGAGCTTGAACAGTTCCAAGATGTTCTCTTGTTTTATTGTAACAGTAACATCGATGTTATTAGAAATTAACCTATTTAATTATGTACATGTTCATTGACATAATTAACATTTATATTATTTTTGTATATCAGAATTTTAGGATAAAAAAAAGAATTTTGAAATAATAACATGTTATGCCACTTTAAGTAACAGCAACTGTGACAACATTTTATCGAAAATGGAAATTGATTTTAATGAGGTTTTGATCAAACAGTGCTGTTAATTATATTTATTAATAAAAAAAAATACTCTTTAGATATTTCACTAACGTTATTATTTCCCCAAAATACATAACCAATTCTAGCTATTAACAAATTAGAAACAGGATCATGGGTTAATGCTATGGAGAAAAATTGATTTGGACAAAAAACGATCCCAGAATTGTAGTTTTAATGAATATGTTCTGGACTACAGTTTAGTCTTAAGATTATAGTTTGTTTGAGTTTGATCCGGAATTTGAAATGACCTATAACTTGTTATAGACTTGTACTTTAGATGAATAGATAAGGGGTCCTATTATCAGGATTATGAATGGGTCTAATAATAATAAAGATGAAACTGGCCGGAACTAATATGAATTTGTTGTAAACACAAGTTGATCTTATAACACTTTGGATGATCTTGATTCAAACTCTGATTGGGTTCCACCATGGGTTTGACAAAGAATCGGACTATGGAAGGATCCTCTACAGGAAAGAAAAGTTATTCAGAACTTACAACCGTTTGTATGAATGTGCTCTGAGCATAAGGGTCATGTGAAAATTAAAATTGATCTTAATTGTTTTGAATACTTTGATCCTGACATTTGAGTGCATCTTACAACGGTCTGGAAAAAATTGATCTGGGCTAAAGTGGGTGCTTCATAGTTTTTAATAAATTGGATCCCAACAATGTATGGGTCTAATCCGGGTTGGGATGAATTTGATCCGGACTATGCATGGGTCTTACTATAGAATATGATGAAGACATACAGTAGAGTGGATTTTACACTATAAATTTATTTTTTGAATTTAATCAAGACTTTATATGTCTCATAACTGTTAGGATGAATTTGACCCCCAGATTTAGAATAGATCATACAATGCTTTTGATGAACTTGATCTGGATTATAAGTTTACAATGTTTCTGATGAATCTGATGTTGACTCACAGTGGATCTTACCATTGCTTACGATGAATTTGGTTTTGAGCTACATGTATGAATTAGTCTTTTGATGGTTTGGATGAATTTTCTTCTGTGCTATGAGTGGATCTTACAATGATTTGCATGGATTTCACCTACTACCCTTACTTTTAGTGTATCTTAAAATGCTCTAGATGAATTTGATCCACACTTTGAATGGATTTTACAATGGTTGGATGAATTTGAAATTGGTTATGAGTGGGTGTTAAAAATGTTTGTATAATTCTGACCCAGACTGTGAATGAGTCTTACAATGATTCTGATGAATTTGAACTGGCCTACATGTCTCTGTTGATTTTACAATGATTCAGATGAATATGATGTGCCTATGAATGAGTCTTACAATGGTTTGGATGAATTTGATATGGACTATGAGTGGATCTTACAATGGTTTAGTTATGATCTGGATCAGGAATGAGTCTTACAATGGTTTGGATGAATTTGATCCGGACTATGAGTGGATCTTACAATGGTTTGGATGAATTTGATCCGGACTATGAGTGGATCTTACAATGGTTTGGATGAATTTGATCCGGACTATGAGTGGATCTTACAATGGTTTAGATATGATCTGGATCAGGAATGAGTCTTACAATGGTTTGGATGAATTTGATCCAGACTATGAATGGATCTTACAATGGATTAGATATGGTCTGGATCAGGAATGAGTCTTACAATGGTCTGGATGAATTTGATCCGGACTATGAGTGGATCTCGTATACTTGTTATCCAGCTTCTCCAGAACACTGATCTTAACTGCTGGATAAAGGATGCACCATACCTGTCAAAAAAAATATGTTTTCTAAATATGTGTATATTACTTTTTTTAGAGTTTAAAAATAAAGAAGTTTTAATACCTGCATATTTTTAACAGAAAACTGATAATTTAGGAATCTTGACACCATTTCTGATAATGCAGATACTTTTTCAATTAAGACTGCTAAAAGAAAGGTAAGAGATCGTTGTTACAAAGCTGGTAATGAAGATATTGACAAGATTATTGTTACAAAGCAGATAATGCAAAATACATTAAAGACACTGGCAGACTTAGAGGGGATCCCAGGCCCCGACCCCCTTTTGTGACCAAAAATACGCAAAAGATTAATAAATCAATTTTTATGTTGTGGGATATTGAATTAATTTTACCTAAAGTATAGCTAAAATAAGTAAAAAAATGTTCCTAAAAACTCCCAAAACCTAAGAGCTTCCGGGGGCTTCGCACCCTGGGCCTCCATCCCAGACCCCGAATTCCCCCCCCCCCCCCCTTCAAGAATCCTGGATTTGCCACTGAAAGAAATTAAGATTGATTTTTAATATCAAATACTTATTAGATGATTGAAAGCTGATAATGCATGTACTTATAAGATTGTTATTAGAAAGCTGATAAGCTGGTAATACACTACACATAAAATTGTTGATAAAAAGAAGAATCAGAAAGGCTGCTTATCAGATTGCCACTAGAAAGCTGATACATGTAATGCATATACAGTAAAAGAAGAGGCCCAAAGGCCTTAACGGTCACTTGAGTGCAATACAACAATTTAGAGTATCCATAAACTGATAAATGAAGCTTTGTTGACCAAAAGAAAGAAAAATAGTATGATTAGCATGAACAAAATAATTGGTCTAGTATCCATCTGTCCAGTATTTAACACTATTATCATGCAGACTATTAACAAAATGTCTATTTTTTAACCCCATATTATAACATTTCACAATGGCCTCTCTTGGCCTTTGAAGAACATATAGAAAGATAAATTATTTTTGTCTCATTTTTATTCATCTATTATTTCCAAGTCTACCTGATCATTAAAACTATGAAAGTACATTTTGTATTATACATGTACAGTAAATATTCTTGCATAATTCTCTTATTCTATTAACCTTTCAAATACATTATATACAGTGATTAATTATCAAAGGTAAATGGCAAAGGGGAAAAACTTTGCTCAGCATAATACAAGTTAAAAGAGCCCTGGCCAGGACCAGAACACTTGACTATATGGTCCAGGTGTTCAAAATTCTGGTAAAAATACCCTTTCCTATTAAAACTTTTACTCTGGGCCTTGAATATGCCCAGAAGCATAGAAGATTTTCAAAGAAATGCATTTTCACAACATTATTAAATAAATAAGACCCCACCCTTACACCAGAACTTCTGACCCAGGGGCCATTAACTCACAATTCTGGAAGAAGCACCCTTGCTCATCATGACTTGTTTCTTTTCTTTATAACCAGTAGTAGAAAAAAAATGAAAGAAATTATGCATTTTCACTATATAATCAATAGAGCCCCCCCCCCCCTTCAACAGAACCCCTGACCTAGGGACCATGAATTTCACAATTTTGGAAGAGGCATTCTTCCTTATCATAACCATGAACTTCCTTTAATTGAATTATACCCAGGAGCAGAGAAGAAGATTTTGAAGAATTTATGCATTTTCACTATATAATCAACAGAGCCCCGTCCTAACACCAGAACCCCTGACCCTAGGGCCATGAAATTCACAATTTTTAAGGAAGCAGCCATGTTCATCATAACTATGTACTTAGTTTATTTAATATCCAAGAGAGAGAAGAAGATTTTCAAAGTCTTAATGCATTTTCACTATATATATATATATATATATATATATATATATATATATATATATATATATATATATATATATATATATATCAACTGAGCCCTGCCCTAACACCAAAGCTCCTGATCCAGGGTCCATGAATTCACAATTATGGAAGAGGCAATAATGCTCATCATAACTATGCACTAAGTTAGTTTATTTAATACTAAGGAGTAGAGAAGAAGATTTTCAAAGAATTAATGCAATTTGAATACACATTCAATAGAGCCCCGCCCTACATGTAACACCTGAACCCCTGACCCAGGGGCCATGAAATTTACAATTTCTGATAAGGCAGCCATGCTCACCATAACTATGTTCTAAGTTAGTTTATTTAATACCCAGGAGCAGAGATTTTCAAAGAATTAAAAAATTTTCACTATATAATCAATAGTGGCCTGCCCTAACACAAGAACCTCTGACCCTGAGGCCATTAAATTCACAATTTTGGAAGAGCACTCTTGCTTATCATAACTATGTACTTAGTTAGTTTATATAATACCCAGGAGCATAGAAGAAGATTTTCAAAGAATTAAAGAATTTTCACTATAAAATCAATAGATTCCCACCCTAACACAAGAACACCTGACCCTGGGGCCATGAAATTAACAAATTTGGAAGAGGCACTCTTGCTCATCATTACTATGTACTTAGTTGGTTTATTTAATACCCAGGAGCAGAAAAGAAGATTTTCAAAGAATTAATGCATTTTCACTATATAATCAATAGTGCCCCACCCTAACACAAAAACCCCTGACCCTGAGGCCATGAAATTCACAATTTTGGAAGAAGTAGTCTTGTTCATCATAATTATGAACTTAATTAGTTTATTTAATACCCAGGAGAAGATGATTTTCAAAGAATCAGTGCATTTTCACTATATAATAAATAGAGCCCCGCCCTAACACCAGAACCCCTGACCCTAGGGATGTGAAATTCATAATTTTGGAAGAGACACTCTTGCTCATCATAACTATGTTCTTAGCTAGATTATTTAATACCCAGGAGCAGAGAAGAAGATTTTCAAAGAATCAATGCATTTTCACTATATAATCAATAGAGCCCCTGAGGCCATGAAATTCACAATTTTGGAAGAGGCACTCTTGCTCTTCATAACCAAGTACTAAGTTAGTTAATTTAATATGCTGGAGAAGAAGATTTTCAAAGAATTAATGCACTTTCACTATATGATCTATATAGCCCCACCCTAGCACCAGAACTCCTGACACTGGGGCCATGAATTTCACAATTTTGGTAGAAGACTCAATGCGTATTACAATCATGCCAACAGTTCGACTGCTTGATGTCCAGGAGTAAAAAAAAAGATTTTTAAAGATTGCATTAATTTTGGTGGTTTTAGCAATAGGTCACCTGAGTGACTCGGGTGACCTAAAACGTTGAATCTGTTCACTGTGAGTAAAAACTATTGAATCTGACAACTGTGCAATCTACTGTAATTTACAATGATACTTATTGGACTGCTGTTAAAAAGAAGATGGAATAATACTGCTGATAGAACACTGGCAATGTAGATACTTATTAGATATATATATATATATATATTGTTAAAACACTGGCAATGCAGAAACATATTAGATAAATATTGCTGATAGAACACTGGCAAGATAAACGCAGATACTTATTAGATAAATATAACTGGTAATGCAGATACTTATTATAAAAATATTGCTGATAGATCACTGGCAATGCAGATACTTATTAGATCATAAGGCAACTGATTGAATTGATACATACCTTGTTGTGTCGCTCAGGGTATTTAAAATCTGACAGATAAAAGATTGTTCAGATGTTAATAGAATTTCTAATAAAGGCATATTAAGCACATATTAACTTTTTTCAAGTTCAGAATTCCTCAAAGAAGAAATTTTGAGTGATGAGCAACTGTTGAATGATTACTTCATAATTAGTTTCACAAGTATTTGTAACAAGTCTATATGTCACAAGTTGGAATTTACTAACTATTACTTGTATTTAGTAGTCTATGTGCTGTGAGATGCTAGTTGTAAGTGAATAGTAAGTTAGATGTAACTGATTACTTACATGTAGTACATTAGCATCATTCTATATCTGTTAGTAGTAGTTTGTGAATTGTAATTAGTTATTCTGGAGTTACAGTTGGCAAATTTCAGGGTTTGACACTAAGGCACATCCGACAGACCCAGTCTAGTAAATGAGTGGTCAGGTCGTGTAAAATGTAGGTGAACTAGACCGATTGGTCATGTTGATAAAATAACTGTTAAAGTCCCAGTTCGATGTTCAAATAAATAATCTAATAACTTTTAAAGAAATTTTCTTCTTTCTCCAAAGCCATATTGCTGTATGAAGGGAAAAAAATCCCCGCCTAACACAATTGCTATTTTTAGCCACAGCTGTAATTGGCTAGTCACAGTCGAAACTACTATTCAGTATTAATATTGTTAAAATAGTTATGTTTAGTACAGTTTTAAATTTATAGATATTTACGATTATCATTTTTATTTAATTTATTAATGTTCTTTCAGGCTTATAGTTCTCGAATATCCCAATGAACCAAACTCAATTATTGACTGAGAACTATTGAACAGTCTGTCAAAAATATTGACACGCACAAAAGACGATGTCTTTCTTAAATATGGTTTCAGAAGTTACATGTACCTCATTAAAATTCTTGATCATAAGAAATAAATTTGCATGTTTGGTCAGGGCTAGTGATTTTATGGTCAGGGCTTGTAGAAATTATTGGTAGTAGCCCAATTGTCTAGTGCTTATAAAAGTTAATGTCAAACCCTGTAAATACATCATAGGGTAAAGACACTTAGTGGATAAGCTATCTTTTACTTACAAATTTTTGGGACACTTGTCTGTGATCACACATTCCATTCATCTCTTCTTTCATTGTTTTACATGCCTCTGAGGCCTCAAATTTGTCACAAATTTTCTACAAATTATGAGAAAGTTACCACTGCATTTCAGAAATAATAAATTGTGATCAAGATGGTTTGCAATAATATATTGGTAGGGAAACCATTTACTTGAACTCGTGCTTTGCAATCTGTTTCTTTTCCAGGTATGACTGCTAGAGTAAGAATATAGTGATCCGCTGGGTTATAATTTACAGGGCAGGGATACCCATTGCTGAAAGAGAAGGTCAATTATAATTACCTAGATGTGTTTTGTACTTCAATTTTAACAGTAATTCAATTCATTTTATTTTAAATAGAATTTTAGTAATGTATCAGGGGCCCGTTTTACAAAAGAACTTACAACTAAGACTAAAAACTTTAGTTGATAGTTAAATCTTACAAAACGTATGTTTCTGTTCAAAATTGTTTGCATAAAAATATCTTTCTAAATTCTTTTCAAAAAGATTTAAACCATTTTCAAAGTAATGCAAAAAAGAAAGTTCTCTGCATAATAACAGTTTGATCTTAGTCATAAGTTCTTTTGTAAAATGGGGACCTGATATGCATAACATGAATCTAGTTTGTATGTGATATATCAATACAAAGTTTCTTTTCTTACTTCTTTGTCTACAAATCGTGCTTTTAAAGTGATATTCAAAATTGCTAAAATGGTACATGTATAAAAAATGGCAAAGTTATGTTTATCACACCGTACAAGTACTGATTTCAAAATGTGAATTTGTGAAACTGAAGTTGTTATAAATTTATCATAGCAGTTTGTGCACATTTGCCTTCAAGGTCAATAGCCAATAGCTTTAAATAAATAAAATATGTTAACTATGGTTTAACACTTAAAAATCACATTATCAATGAAATAAGGTCATTAAGATGGAAATGCATCACCAATAAAACCATATGTTCATTGCAATGAGAACTAGCTTATGGCCTTTAAAAAGTTTCATACAATCAAAATCTCACGTTTTGAAGAACTCAAGTGCATCTGGCATTGGTCCTGAAAATGCTACTCTTCCCTCAGCTAAAAGAAACAGCCTGAAAATATGAAAACATACCAATGATGTTTACTTGTTTCAATAAATTTGAATTAAATATCGCTGACTGATTAAAACTTATGACTCTTCTAATAAACAAAATGTTTGCATTGATTAGAGGTTCTTTAGGCAAATTTATAATTAATTCTTTTCAAATGAATTTTTTTCTTACTCATCAAATAACTCAAAGACTTCTGACGGTGGTTGGTGAATTGTGCACAAGATGGTTCTGCCACTTTTTGTCATAGTCTTCAAAGCTTGTATGACACTGAATGCCATGAATGAGTCTAAACCGGAAGTAGCCTCGTCACAAAACATCAATGGAGGATTCGTTAGCAGCTTAAGGGAAAAGTACAGACATGTAAATTAATCATAACTTTATTTTTTTCTCTTGTTTATTCAAAGGAGACTGAACATAAAAACAAAACTATTCTGAAAAAAGAACATGAGAGGAACACTCATTCCTTGATACAGGTGTAATTTGTATGCAATAACATACCAAGCCTGGGCATATTTTGTTGGTAAAAGATCACCCACTGATCTACTAGCAACTACAGTGCAGTAAGATACATATGAAGATTTGTTGAACCAAGGAAAATAATCGACTTCTTAGGAGCAAAAGAAATATTCAAATTATCAAATTCCCAGGTCTTGTAAGTTGAGTTTTAATAAGGATTACAGAAAAAATAATGGAAACAAACAAGGAACGTTAACTCTGCCAAACAGTAAAAAAAATATAAAAATTTATGTTACCTCTGAAGCAAATGAGAGCCTCTTCATTTCTCCCCCAGAAATCCCCTTAAGCCTGCCTGGTAACCCAATAACTGTATCAGCACATTTGGTTAAACCAAGCTGTAAAAAGTCAGGGTGGGATGATTAGCTCACCTGAAGTAAAACTTTTAACCTTTCTAAATAAGCTTTGGCTATATCACATTAAATAAGATATATAAAATTTGGAATTCCAAAGGAAACAGGCTGGATTTATTAAGATTAAGGTTCATTGACCCTCTGATAAGAAGGATAACTCTTAATTGGGATAAATGTCTGTTATTCCTTTATAAAATTCTCAGATTAATTGGCCATAATTCATTTCTCAAATTTTGCATCGCAACCTATACTGATATTGTTTGCATTTTAATCATGAATCAGGTATGTTTTGGAAAATCATAAACCTTCCTGCAAAATATTATAAGTGGCCATAGGCAGGCCTCTAACCGGCCTCTAAAATTTAGACGCCAGCTGGCCTTATCAAAAAAATTTAGTCGCCAACGCAAATATTTAGTCCCCAGGCAATTTTTCTAAGGCACCAACTTTAAAAGTTAATAGAATATAGGGACCCATGCCGAGCCTAAGAAAACACGACATGTAAATAATTCTCTCTTTTTTAAAAATTTCTTTTCGTTTCTTCAGAAAAAAAGTTAAAAATGTGAAAATTTCAAGAATTCGACGAACACCAAATCAATTTAAAATGGTCGCCAACTTGGCGACTTATGAAAAAATTTTAGGCGCCAATCAAAACTTTTAGGCGCCATGGCAACTAAATTAGTCGCCAATTAGAGCCCTGGCCATAGGGACGATGAACCTTAGGGAAAGGCAATTATCTCCTGCTTACTAAAAATGAAAACTTTAAAGTAATTTTCATACAGCTCAAGGTTACTGATTTCCGAATTATGATATAGTAAAGGAAAGCTTTGTAAGGCTTTTAAAATAAAGAATATACACCAACCTCAAGGATAACATCTTCTACTTTCTTCAGTCTTTCTGCTTTGGTCTTTCTTTTGTCCATGCGAAGTAACGCCTGGTTAATTAAAAAAACTTTATATATGTTAGATATTCTTGCTTCAGTACAGGTATATGTACGTTTTTGTAGGAGATGCTCAAAGAAAAATACACAGAATGTTTTCAAAACTTTCATACAACATATTCCTCCCTGTCATTACGAAAATGCTTCTATAAAATCAGTGTCCCCATTATGCTCTATATTTTTTATACAATATAACGTACATGTATTCTGAACTAAGATGCTCATATATCATATCGTAATATTTAAAAAAAATTGTTATACATCTGTATCTTGTGGTAAAACGTACATATGTATGCGAGTAAGATAGAGTAAGATACGTAGAATGTGTTGAAAATTAGACCTATCTGACAAGCTATGGATAAACATACTCTAAACGTAAGATGTTCTCTGACGGTTAGCGTCCCTATGAACAGATCGTCTTGCTGGACGTAAGCTGAGATGTTGGCTATTTTCGTTTTGTCCACTATCACGCCGTTGACTCTAACGTCGCCTTGTAAGATTAGGTTTCCTCTGTTTCTATAGGTGAGAACGTTCAGCAACGTAGATTTTCCTGCTCCGCTGAAAAAAAGAGCGACATTTATTGAAAGGCAAAATACGTCAATTAAATTCATTCTAAGGCCATCTTAAAAAAAAAATGTTTGCTTGCCCTCTCCCGACTGAGGATAAATTTTGATTTCATGTTATTTATAGGCTTCTTCAGCTTTACCTTGCACCCATGACAGCCATCAGCTTTCCGGGTTTTATCATTCCATTGACTGAAAAAAATTGAAAAAAAAAAACACAATTTTTATGCTCTTTATGTTTTCTTCATATGTCCAGAGAGAGAGAGAGAGAGAGAGAGAGAGAGAGAGAGAGAGAGAGAGAGAATTTGTTTATGTAAATAACATATAAGTACAATCCAAAAAATTATGGATCATATTGCCAAAAAAGTGCAATTTTCTCTCACCATTTGTCAATATTTGCTTTGGGGTGGGTTGCGCCTTGCCTCGTTGACAACATCCCCCTTTCTTTGGTAAGGCATACACGTTGACATCTTTCCATGTCAAGGTCACTGGTTCTAACTCCTCGTCTAAAGTACTACTTAATCTGTTTCTATTCGATCCTAGTTCAGGGTCTGTAACCATATTTATAAAGTAACATCTAAAATTTCACTAAATACACAAGAGTAGACACTTTAGCAGTGTCCTATAATGAATACTTATTTTATCACCTGTTTACTTCTTTTTTGTTAGGTTCATTTTGAGAAAGGGCTCTGTTTTTCCCCAAAGCTACCAAACTGTCAATATCTATTTAACTTCTTTATTAAATAGTGTCATATTTGCAGGATAAATACATGTAACAGATTTCCTATTAATATTTTTATCTGGAGAGCCAATGCAACTTGGTGACCAAAACGTTTACATTAAGCTGGTCTTCTGAACTAAAGCTAAGTCTTCCATGTACCTTGTGCTTCTATAATATAAATAATGTGTCGTGCACCAAACCGTTATCTTTAACTGTTTAAGATTGACGTCTTGTACAAACATTGATATTTACAGTCGTATCTGATTAAACCCACTTCAGAAATACCTTATTGCACAGTAGTAAGTTTACTGGGGCACACATATTAAAGTAAAAATAATGTTACCTAGGTGACATTTTTAGGCCGGATTTTATAAAATTTAATGAATTGAAAAGTTCATCCTTACGTCTCACTATTTATACATTTCAGAGCAAAACGCAACGATTAGCTATCACGACTTTCTCAAGTTTTACCCGTATACACATAAACAAATCACACACATAGGAAGCAATGTCAGTTGGGGACACCCCCAAATTGAATTTTCTCGACAAGCCAAAAAAAAAACTAAAAAACAAAACAAACAATCAATCAATCAAAAGCAAGCAAAGTTAAAAAAAAGGCATCAATCATCGTCCTCTCTTTTGAAGGACTGTTTTAACTACAGATCTGCAGTTATGTAGGTGCATTATTAAGCTAATTCTCTGTTTAATTAATAAATATTTCAGAACTAATCAAAATTAAAAAAAAAAATCATTTTAATACATTGTAGATGTTTGCAATCCAGGCATGTTGTCTTAGTGGTTTATTAATTAATGTACAGTATAGTATTTCTTCATATTACATGTAATTTATTTATTTACCTGTAGATTTCTCATTAATTACATGTAACTTTTTATTTATTCGTCCGTCTTTGCCATTTATCCATTATTCGGTTAATTTTATCAATCAGTTTATTGTGTGTTAAATATTGCAAACATCTACTTCATCAAACTATGGCATACCTCTAATATATAGTATCTTAACATTCTAACTGGAATACAACGTTTAAGCTTGCTAACCGTATGTTAAGTTAGTAGAGCGCTGTACAAAATTTGTGCACCTGAGATTCAAAGAAAAATGCAATGCGTTAGAATATATGTAATCATTCGCCAAAACTTAATAACAGAATATAATTTATAAAACTACAAAGCAAATCATGCGAAAGGACAAAAAAAATTAGTATGATTCAAAAATAAATTATTTTACATTGCACAAATGAAAAATTATATTTTAATATTCAATACAAAAACTTGGCAATGAGTTTTTTTTTTTTTTTTTTTTTTTTTAAATTTATGGAAGTAGACATGAGTTTATACAAATCTACTGGGATTATCTACCCATTTATTTATTATTTAAATACTTGAGCTGATAGGTGACCAAATTAATTATAAAGTTTTAAAAAACATACATGTATAGTCATATTTTACTTTATTTAACTTGAATTTTAAATCATCGCCATACTGTTCATTTCTCTGCAACATATCAGATATGTTGCAGAAAAAGACAGCACTAAATACCTTAAGTTTTTTCCCACCTTACTGTCAATTACTGCAGGATACTGCTGCATGATCAGATGAGGGTTATTAATCCCCCCCCCCCCAAGTCTTTTGCTAGACCTGAATTTGCACAGGGAATTAATTGCGTTTCTTCGTAGTTAATAAATACCGACTATGGGAAAATCTACACATCCCCTAGCTGCCACTGTCCAAAATATTTTAGTTTTTCTCTGACCTTCACCCTGGCATGTTAATAGCGGATCGCCAGTTGTACATGTAGAATGTATGTCACCTACATGTAATGAAGATACATACCTTCATCCGTATGAAAGTAGGAATAAAAATCTAAAAATAGTTTTGAAAAAAAAGTTTTACATGTATAAGATGACAGCAGATAATCTTTTCTCCATAACAACATGAACAAGACAAAAGGACTGTTCAAGATAAAATACGGGACATGATTAAAAACACGTGAGTTTTGCATAACACAGTTCAACATGCCAACTTCCTTACAAGGTTATAACCTTTATGATTATTTATCTGTGGATAATCAGACTGACATTTAGTTTTTATCTTTATATACCTTCAAAGGATCCATGATGATTGGTTAATCCATGCATGCCTAAGACGTTTTGTTCAGTAGACCTACATTATGATTATGTGGCAGAAAAAATAGATCATATAGCATGAGATCGCTCCAGTTAGTAACCTTTCCGACGCCGAATGTTTACAATCCTTATCACTGAAGTGCTTAAATTATTAAACTGTTATTGGGGTCCTCAAAGCGCTTTCAAATTTCTATTTTTAGTCCCCTTAATTTCCAGTATCATAAATATAGGTCACAACAGTATATCTACTTTAGTGACATGATAGAGAGAATGGCAAGAATTCAAGGTCAATCAAGAATTTTCTTACGGGTAGATAAATAAATCAAACTTCTCAGTCTCGCAAACATTAAGGACATACAAAGTCGGAAAATATCATCATAATCTATATTTTCATCCCCACTCCCATTTAAGTCCAATTTATCTATGTATTTTATTCGGCTTTTTATTTAATACGGGACCCCCATCCCCACCCCTTCTATCCAAAAAATCTCCTAGGTCCTTTCATTATAGATCTAAAAACATATTTTTTGTATTTTTCTCCGCATATGGATTTTGAAACGAATCAGAATTTTTACCTAAAATCTTTATATTTTTTTCTCAGTCTTTAAGTCAATTTTCAACTCACTGGGTATTCCATAAACGTGCGTACAAAAACAACAATGACATTCTTGATAATTTTTATAATACGTAAGTATGATATATACATGATACACGCACACTAAGAAAAGATAGTTACACTCGAGTATACTCTCAGTAATGTACAGGCGAAATATGCAGGAATTGAAAGTCAATGTCTAGCAATTATTTACAATCAAGTTTTATGGCTTAAAAAAATTAAATGATGCAAATTTATCGAATTTTCTTTATTAGTGTAATATTATAAATTTATACTTCCTTAAGGAAAAAAAATGGAAGGATAGGAATAATTAAAAAATACAATTCAAGGGCATAGAGTAACAGTGAAATCTTTCGAAGCCATTGATTAGCGAAAATATAAATGTACCCCGTGTAAGCGGTAAAAACAGTGTATATTATAAACTCTCCAAGTTGAAAATGCTCGAAAACTCTTCTGTTTTCTTTTACGTATGGATGTGGAAAATTCTTTAGCCATCAGCAGGTATTTATTTCTTTTACTTCGCAAAAATTTTCGAGTTTTCTTTTAATTTATGTTCTTCAACTATTTTCCAATCTTAAAACGTTTTAATTTAAAAAAGAGTGTGTTTGGCATATATGTACAGCATCACAGATACTTATAAAATAAAAATTAATACATCCATACCTCCATTCGAGATTTCCTCTGTTATATGTATTCTGTTCATGCTGCAGTTCTTTTTTCAAACTGGGTATACATATTGAACTGATTGGCGAAGTATGTAACAAGCTCTAGATCGATATTTCGATCGTTCTATTTAGTCAACCCTTTACACAGAATATACGTAATTTTAAAAAAAATCAATCATTGTGTTTCATAGCACCCTATATGTACCTTTAAATAACCTATACCTGTCTAAATGATAATGAAAAATTATAACCTATGCACAGATTTATTATTATCAAAAGGAAATTTCGGCTAAAAAACACCCCATCTCAAAAAAATTCTTAAATACATGTACTAATTTATAAATTAATTTATTTATTTTTGTTATTCATGTCAAAGTCATACATGTAATAACTCCCAACTTGGCAAGTCATACCAAACTACATTTATTTTCAATTTTGAAAATTTTTGTTTAGTCAAAATATACCTATTATAGAATTTGGCATCCTTCGTTTAATAGGGATTAAATCAAAATGGACTATTTAAAGCGAATTTGTCTCGACTGATGATGCTTAAAATAATTTACCCTCACTTGTAAGAATTTTGTTTTGTCTTAATTAAAAGCAGTATGACATTCTTTATGGGTTTAATCTCGAAAACTTTGTATTCCATTGCTTACATAAGCGTAGGGAAAATACATCATTCAATAGGAGCGAGGCAAAAAATAATTGAGAAGCAAAAAAGAAAAGAAAAAAAAAAAGAAAAAAAAAAAAAAAGGGTATTTCTGAAAGTGGGTTTAATCATATACGACTGTAAATATCAATGTTTGTACAAGACGCCATCTTAAACCAAAAAAAGCAAATAAACACAAAAACAACAGCAGAAATCAATAGAAATTAAAAATTCAAAAAACAAACAGAAAACAAAAAGACGAAAGAGTTCGTTTTTCGTTGGGGTTTTGGGATGGGTGGGTGAGCAGGTTCCTCTCCCTCTTGACCACAAAAAAGAGATAGCCTACCAACCTTTAACTGATTTTTTTCTGTATACTAAATAAACGTCAAAATTAGTATTCTCAAGAAAAAAAGTGGGAGATAGAGCATGCAGCCCCTCCCCTTTACTACCTCAGCCTAGCTGTCTTTAATTCTATAATATGCCCGTATCAGCTCGTTCAGAGTAACATGTACTGTAGAACATGTGGTTTGAGAGTCTTTACTTATTGTTAAATAGGTCAACGCGGAAATTTTTTAAAAATTCGTGAATTACTCCAAAAAATGTTATGATACAATTTCTTAATTACCTTTATTTGTAACTTCATCAGAAAATCCCCTGTTTACATAAGTTCCCTTCATGTCGGTATGGGTGACCTGGTAGTTTCCCTGACTAAAAATCAATACCTCCTGCTATATCAGTGACACAGGAATTTTTCTACTTAAATGTGAGGAAGGCCGTAAATTCTGCCCCAGCCGATTTAGAAGTTTAAAATATAAGTACATGTAGATTAGAACGTTCTATCGTTAAAATGATATTTTCCTTGTCCCGAGACACAGTTAGATTATTCTAACTAAAGTACATGTAGATAGTAACTCCACCTTTGCTAAATTCTAGGCATTAATAGGTCAATTAATTGGATATTCTAAAAAAAAAAAGTCCACGTGTCTGAAAAATCCACGTGTCTCGTTGGGCTTTAACACAAATTGACGGGGTGAGGGTAATTTTAACCTTTTAATTACTTTAAAAACTTCTACTTTCTTTTAGGTTTTAACAGTACAAAAAAAAAAAAAAAAAAAAAAAAAATCAAAAGCTAACCAGTTGAGCCTCGACGTAGGGCCGGGATTCCATTGTACAAAGAATACAAACGGTATATTCGACGCAAAAGGTTCACAAAGATAAGATCCCCCAATTTTGGAAAACTGTACATTTACTTAGAAGGTCACCTGACCAGGCAGGTACATGTACACATGTACTGTTGGGGAACACTTTTTTTTACAAACATATCTTATCATTGTTGAAAAAATTGATTGAAAGGTTAGTCCCCCTTTTTTTGTTGCTGTATAGTTAAATCATGGTAATGTGATAATGTCTTTAATAGAAGTTGGTAGTGAAAAAAAAACAAGAGTGGAACCTCCCCCCCCCCCCCCTACACACACCCCCACCCTCATACACACCCACACAAACACGCCCCACGAAATAGGATTTTGGAGTTTAAACGATTTACCTTTTTAGCCCTGTTGAAGTTTTTTGTAGATTGTCAATCCCCCCCCCCCTTTTCACAAACGATACTACGTTCCTACCTGTCCACGTCAGGTCAATTAATTGTGCAAAGAAAACAGCAAATAACAGTTGATAAATTGTGCATACATGAATATTGTAGTATATCTCTATATATATTTTCTAAGTTCTGACAGATTTCAAAGGCATCACCTACATGTAATACATGTACATGTAAGCAGCAGATTTCCATAAAAATGACGCAAAAATGCCTTACCTAATGCTGATTTTCACTTACTAATATTCTAAAATCCCATTTTGTGTAATAAATCTATTTTCTTGATTTGTTTTAATTTACAGTGAATTACAGAAAATGTATTTCAATTTTTTCTTTATTCAATGCAAAAAAGCATCACATTTTCATAGTCTGACCCATTTTGTTTATTTCTTTCCATAATCCCCTCATTACTTATAACACCATCTTTTATCTTCCCTGAAGGAATAAAAAGCCTGAAAAGCAGTTTGTCGTGTGTTGCCACCCTGTGCGAGTTTTAATGATTAAATTTTTTGAAATTCTCCAGAAGATTATAAACAGTATCATATCATGTTAACAGGCATTAAATACAAAGTACCGATTTCAGGTGACCATTATGCATGCAGCACGATAAAGTATTTCAGACTTTGACATTAAATGAGGGAATTGAATGATTTCTATCAAAAATGTTCATTGAACTTAAAGAATTCTACCCTGGTATGGTTCAGAGATTAGTAACGCCAAGTTTCGATTCAAAGGCGGTTTATCATACATAAAAGCCTAACCCATTTTCTCCCATTATCTGTGTTCCATCACTCCCGCACAATTGTTCTTTTTTTCGTGTTCATATTATAAAACACCTGGGACGATTCTGAATGGCTGCTTTTCTAGGTTTATTCTCCAAGTTCATGCCCATGATGACATAAAATGCAGGTACAGTGCATGACTGGAAACATCTACGGTTACTTTTTATTTTTTGCCAGAACATACATAGTGGGAAACAGACAAATCATGCATAAAAAATCCTTCTTCTTTTTTTATTTTTCAAGGGACACTCGAGAAACCTCGTGTTTCTTGAAAATAAAAATTAAAAAAAAAATTTAAAGAACTCGAATTTGATAAAAATCGGTTACTAACTCGCACTGCTTACGGAACTGATATGTTTTATTGTACGAAGTATCAAATACGGAATTTTTTCTCCTCACTTTGTATATAATCGAAGGTGTTTATGTGAAACAAATTTTGAATTTGAAATTTATTTTTATTTAAATTTATAGAAAATAAATATGCAATGCTTTTGAAGATCAAAATCTGATTTTATTTGGACCAAGTGAACGTTAAGTCTCAAAGAATTAAAATTAATTCTTCAAAAATGAAACGTCAAACTCAAGTTCATCATCAAATTACTATATAAAAGAGGAAAAGGGAACTAAAACGTGTTTTTTTTTCTTTCTTTTTTTTTTGGGGGGGGGGGGGTATACATGTAGATGGTACATGTATGATATCTATGGGCTAAAGAACACTTCCCTGTGTAAAGATTA